TGCAGGGCTCAGACTCAGGAACTGTGAGATCATGACTTCAGCTGAAACCAAGAGTCAGACGTTTAACTGACTGAGCCACCCAGGCACCCCTAGATACGGTTTCACACTTGTCACTTCCCAACTGAGCCCATCACCTTTCCCTTAAGCCTGTTCTATCTCGGAAAATGGGATCATCTTGGGAGTCAGGCTGGGTATGTCCCACCTCCCACAGCCACTACAACGGCCGGCCCTGACCCAACCTCCCACCTCTCACAGGAACCCCCCAAGTGGTCTCCCTCCCTCTGGCCTTCTTCTCATCCAGTCCATCCTCTGTCCCAGCTGCCACAGTGCCTGTGTTCTAAAATGCCAATTTTTTCTGCCTTGCGTGAAACCTCTCCTAGCTGAAGATTCTGAAGGGCTGGTCCATTCTGAGATTCCCAACCTTGGTTCCTCTTGGCACCTTTTTACTTGTTCTCTCCTCCCTAGAACCCAGGAAAGCCCCGTGATATCACAGATAGCCAGCAAAGCCCCGTGACATCATTGGGTGCTTCTGATCTGCACGGGAGAACCTGAGTTCAGATCATTTTAGAGAAGGTATCAAAATGTAAAGGTTTTAGTATTAGCCCAAGTGGCTTGTTTTGACCTGATGCGTCATGAGTCATTGGTTCCTCATTTGGCAAAGGAGGGACAGAGTTCCAGAGAAGAGAAGTAATTTGTTTAAAGTTATTCAGCAAGTCATTAGTGGAGCAGTTCTGTTCACTGTCCCAGGACCTGGAACCCAGCATGGATGGCCACCCCCGTGGGCTGTACACCTGGAAACTGCGGTCCCTCCAACTTCTCTGGGAGGGCTTTTGCTCTGATTCACTCCCCTAGAGACCACACTCCTTCCTGTGAATGAGTAAGTCACTTACTTCCTCCCTCCGTTAGAAACAGACCCAGCTGGGGGCGCTTGGGGGGCTCAGTCGGTTGAGTGTCCACCTTTGGCTCAGGTCATGATCTCACGGTTCGTGAGTTTGAGCCCTGCATCTGAAAGTGCAGAGCCGGCTTCAGATCCTCTGTCCCCCTCTCTCTGTCCCTCCCCCACTTGTGCGCCCTCTCCCTCAAAAATAAACATTGAAAAAAGTTAAAAAAAAAAACACTGGAACATTGAAAAAACAAAGAAACATTGAAAAAAGTTAAAAACAAAACAAAACAAAAACAAAAACCAAGAGGGGCGCCTGGATGGCTCAATCAGTTGAGCCCCTGATTTCGGCTCAGGTCATGGTCTCATGGGGTTTGTGAGTTAGAGCCCACGTCAGGCTCTGTGCTGACAGCTCAGAGCCTGGAGCATGCTTCATACTCTGCGTCTCCCTCTCTCTGCTCCTCCCCTGCTCCCACCCTGTCTCTCTCTTTCTCTCTCTCTCTTTCTCTCTCAAAACTAAATAAAAACATCAAAAAAGAAAAAGAAAAGAAATAGGCCCAGCTGGGTGCTTCCAGATGGTGGATAAGGAGTAAGAGACACATGAACCTCCTTTATGACCCAAAGCCTCCACTTACTAGCTGTATGACCTGGACAGGTTACTTATCTTCTGTGTGCCTTGGGTTCCTCATCTGTGCTATGGGTTCTCTAGTGTCTATAGGGGCATGGGAACAATCACATCCACTCTCCTGTTCTTTTTTCTCACCTATTGGCCTTTCCCGGCTCTCTGAGATTAGAGACTAAGGTGAGGACTTGGGGGGAGGAGCATCGATTATAGACCCCCAGGTAAGACTTGGATGTAGCTGGGCACCCAGCCTGGGTTGGGGGAAGGGGCGCTGCTGCCATGAGGTTGGAGACCAAACCCCTCCTCTTTGTCACGAAGTGTCCTTCGGCCTCGTAGAAGCCTCTGTGCGCAGGGAATCGGTACTGCGTGTCCTGGCAATCTCTTTTTGGCCATCTTTCCGTTTGCATCGCATATCAGGCACTCTGGAGGCAGAAAAGCATGTGCTCAAACCTACTTTCCGCTGCTGGGGAAACCGTCCAGTGTGGAGACCACAGGGCTTCAGCGTTCTGGCCTTACACATAAAAGGTTTTTGGGGAGAAGCCTTCTCCTCCTTCTTGCAATGCTGGGAGGCAGAATGAGGAACAATGGACAGATGCTCTGGGAACAGGAGTGCTGTCCCGAAGAGGAAGGGGGACCTCAGGAGAACAGCAAATGATCTGTGGCTGGAGGGGTGCTAGCAAGGGCCGACACCCAGGAGGTGGGGTGCCGCGTAAGGAAGGGATTCCTCTCCTGGACTAACAGGAGTCCTCCTATTGTCCCTTCCAATTATGAACCCCAAACTCCAGGAAGACGGAGAGGAAGCCTGGCTGGGCCCAAAACTCAGAGCACGGTGCAGGCCCCATGCTCTCGAGTCGTCTTGGCTCACTTGAGGCTTGGCATGGAGGGAGTGCCTCTGGCCCCTGCCTGTCCCGGGGCCCGGAGTGAGGAGTTGGTGCGGAGTGTCTGTCCCCTGGTGCAGCCTGGGCTCCCGACTGCCTGCTGCGTCAGCACCAGTGTTCCTTTTACATGACCGAGTGGGATTTGCACTCTGGAAGCATTAGTGCTGGGCTGACTCGGCAGAATGGCCAACACGAGAAAATGCCAGTTCCCCCACCTCTCCCAGACAGTTCTCAGAAGGCCTCATGGCCGCTTGACTTCCTCTTCAGGCAACCCAGCCTCTCCTCCTTCAAAGTCGCCAGGGCCTTTTGAGGTTACCCTGGCAGACCATGGGTGATAGGAAGAATCCCCCAGAGAGCTTTGAAAGCATACAGTTCCCCGGACCCCACCCTTAGAGATTCTGACCCAGGATGTCTAAGCTGCACCTGGGACTCTATTTTCGACACACTCCCCCAACCCCAGGTATTGGGAAGCAGTGATGTCCAGCCAGCTTGAGAATCACTGTTTATCTGCTGACCCTTGACCCCTGATTCCTGCCCCAAGCCCTCCAGACCCGCTCGTGTCATCACCATACAGCTCCAGCTGATGGAGAAATTGCTTCCTTGAGATGAGCAGGCATTGGTGGGCTCTCTGAAGCTTGCAATCCTCCAAAGATAGAAAGGTCCACCTCACTCCGTGTGATCAGTTGGCAGGCTGCCACCACCTCATCACTATCAGTCTCCCACGAGTCCTCCGTTGGAGTTTGAAGCCTCAGAACGCTGCTTCAGACCCCTCTACCAAGTCAAAGAACATATTCCTGCCATCGTACAATTCAGAGAGCAGGGTGGAGATTTCTCTTTAAGATTCGGTGGGGAGGGTCACCTGGGTGGCTCAGTCGGTTGAGTGGTTGAGCATCTGATTCTTGACTTCAGCTGAGATCATGATCTCATGTTTCATTAGTTCGAGCCCCATGTTGGGCTCAGTGCAGAGCCTGGTTGGGATCCTCTCCCTCCCTGTCCCTCTGGCCCTCCCCCACTCGTGCTCTAACTCCCTCTCAAAAAATTAAATAAACTTAAACAGAAAAAGATTCAGTAGGGAATCTGAGGTCCAGATTGGTGAAGCATTTGGCCCAAGTTTACATAGCTGAGTTTTGGGAGAAGATCCTAGCTCAGGCGCCTCTGCTCTGGAACACCTATCTCTTTCTTTTCACTTTATTATTATTATTTTAAAGGTTATTTATTTATTTATTTATTTAATGTTTATTTACCTAATGCTAATTTATTTTTGAGAGAGACAGAGCATGAGTAAGGTAGGGCAGAGAAAGAGATAGACACAGAATCTGAAGCAGGCTCCAGGCTTTGAGCTGTCTGCACAGAGCCCGACGCAGGGCTCGAACCCAGGAACCATGAGATCATGACCTGAGAGGAAGTCGAACAGAGCCACCCAGGCACCCCTATTTATTTTTTGACAGAAAGTGCACCACAGCAAGTTGGGGAGGGGCAGAGAGAGAGGGAGAGAGAAATGCCAAGCAGGCTCTACATTGTCAGCACAGAGCCCAGCACAGGGCTCGAACTCACGAACTGCAAGATTACAACCTGAACTGAAACCGAGAGTCAGATGCTTAACCCACTGAACCACCCAGGGGCACCAGGAACGCCCATCTCTTGGGAATGGCACAGTTTATCTCTTTGTTTGAGAAAATGACCCTTTTTTTTTTTTTTTTTTTTTTTTTTTTTTTTTTTTTTTTTTTTTTACTGTGACAGACATTCCATTGGTGTGGTAAATTTTGAATTTGGTTCTTTTTAGGGGAATGCAAAACTTAAAATGTAAAGATATGTCAGGAGCACCTGGATGGCTTAGTTGATGAAGCATGTGACTCTGGATCTCAGGATTATAAGTTCAAGCCTCACATTGGATGTAGAATTACTTAAAAAAAAAAAAAAGAAAGACAATGAAATCTTCAAAAAAATATATAAAGATCTATTAGACTTTTCAATCTCTTCCTCTTCATAGGAGATTTTAGGGGATTTGAGAGTTTGGTCCTGGAGTAGGGAAGCTGGTTTGGTGAGGAGTGGTCAGCCTCCAGGGAGTCAGAACAGAGAATTTCTGCTGGTAGTGAGCCCCATGTCAACAGGCCCTTCTTTGAAATCCTATACGGATGCTCTTCAAAACTATCCTTTCTGGCCATAGCCCTATCTGTTCCTGGGATCGTTTACGGTTCTGCTTTCCCGAGTTTTTGCTGCAACTTGCCCATGACCATTGCTTTTGGGGTAAAACTTTTCAAATCCCCCTCAAGAGGCTAGACCATCACCGGGCCAATCCTTTCTCGAAGTGGAGAGTCCCTTTCATTGAACCAAACTGCCCTGAAAACCTGCTCCATGCTAGGCTTGGAGCTCAGAGGTGGCTCAGGTGGAGCTCTGTCTTTGAGGAACCCGTTTGTAAGACCTCAGGGAAAGACAGACTCATATATATAAGGGTAATAAGGAGATTTAAACCCTTTGCCGGAAGTATTGTAGCATAGGAGCCGGTAGGGGCTCCAAAAGGGAGCAGTTCAGTTTAACTTACAGTATCTGAGTCTGAAAGATAGGAGGTAAGGATTGAATGGGGGTAGGAGTGGAAGGAGTTCCCTGCAGAAGGCATAGCTTTTGAGAAGGCCCGGAGTTGGACGAGGGTACTACATGGCTAGGAAATGCCCATCGAGTGCCCTGTGAAAAATGAAGCTAGAGACGTGGGCAGGGGCCCTTAGGAAAGCCTTGAACTCCAGGCTAAAGCAAAGTGACTTTGGCCCATATGCAAGGGGAGTGACATGTATGGTGGAGCCAAGGCAAGGGAAGAAGATGGGATGTCTATTTGGAAAGATCTTTTAGATCTTTTACTGGAGAGGCTGGGAAGACATTGAGGCGGGCCAGCTGAAAGGCTGTTGCTACTGGCTGGCAGATCTTAAGAAGCAGCCGTCTAATTCTATTCTTTTATAGATGCACAGTCTGAGGCCCAGAGAGGTCAAGTGACTTGCTCAAGGTCACTCAGCAAGATCAATAGCAAAGTCAAGGCTTCAACCTGTGGGTCCTGCCTCCCAGCACAGGCTTCCTTCACTGCCCCACACTCCTCAGGAGGGCGGGCCACCCACTGAGATTTCTTTTTCGTCCTTTGCTTCTGAATCTGTTATGTGCTCTGCCCCTACCACAGCCCAACCCTCAAGGAGAGTGACAGGGAAGTGTTCCCAGAGGACAGGGCGGGGAGTATTGCCTGCTTCAGAAGATGTTGCTGCTGCTGCTGCCACCGCTGCTGCCGCCTCCCCGCCAATCAGGGAGCTTTCTAGCCGCAGGAGGAAGCCAGGAGCCAGGGGATGGGACTGCAGTGATTTATGACTGCACAGAAACAGCAGGACACTAATGTCTCTGGCCGGCCTACTTGTCTGCCAGCTCAGCCAGAGAGCATGGATCTAAAGGTCACGTCCTCCAGGGCTGGAGATGGGGCAGAGGGTCAGCCATACAGGGTGCTTGCCCAGGGCCCTCGTGTCAGGCCCATCACCAGAGGGCAAGGCCCCTCCCTTCCTGAGCAGATGCCAAAGGGTAGATCCTCACAGCCTGGGCAGGGAAGGGTGCCCTTGCCATTGGGAGTCTGGACGATCTCCCTGGGTTTGAATTCAGTCACTGATCATCTCAGTCACTGATGTGTGATCTTTGGCTGGTCATACAGCCTCTCCGTGCCTGAGCTTCCCGATCTATAAAACAGGGATGATTTTGAGCCTCTCAATCCTTGGGATTGAATCATCTCCCAGGTCTGCAGGTACAGATTCCCTGTTGCTGAGAGGCTAAAGAAGAGGAACAAGCCGAATCTAGAACTTTGTCTTGTCGCGGCTGGGTGGGGCATCTAGCGCTCACTTCGTTTGATTTCTCCCTTCAAAGTTGGGGAAACTAAAACCCTGAGAAGGGGCAGGCTTTGCAC